AGAGATGGCTTATTAGGTGATTTTCTTGCATTTGGTAATAATGCAAACAAATTCACAAGCATAAAAGAATTATGGAAGAATAACGCTTTTAAAGTGTTAATATTTCTTCCTCTTCTTGGGACTGTCAAATGAGTCATATAGAGTAAACTGAAGAAAATCAAGGTGACAAATCCAACCACTAGCTCTCTAAAAAGTCAATGACTTTATCCCTACATGGAAAGATTCAGGTACATTCTGACAGAACTTTGGCTCCCAGAAATTAGACAAAGTATGATTTCAGTGGGAGAGGAGCTGCAGAAGAGGCAGGACAGAGAAACTCTAAGCCCTCATCAGAGACTGCACTACTACCATCAGAGTTTGCAAAAAAAAGGAAAAAGAAAAAAGCCTGCCCTACTACCTTCCCAGTTAGAAGCACCCTACTAGCCAGGGTATTTCCAGAAGACAAAGTGTAACTGAGTTGTGGATGCTCTTGGTGTTGTCCTATGGGTTTCATCAGTATACCATTTGTCTAGTTTCAAGTGATGCATGCTGGGGTCCTAAGAATCTCGTCACACTCCTCTGACTGGCCATCTCTTGGGAATAATCCCTCATCTAGCAGCCCAGGATGCTCATTTTGCTCCCAAAGTGGATGACTTGGATTCATTAATGGGTGATGGTGAGAAGACTGGAGACTTTGTGGGACAATGTTGGTGACACAAAGAAAGCAGGATTATTTGGAATCAGTGTGAAATCATCTACTAAGTCAGGATGGCAGAGGAACACATTATCCCATTTCAGAGTGTCAAAAATTGTTTCGTGGGCTGGGGATGTGGCTCAAGCGGTAGCGCGCTCGCCTGGCATGCATGCGGCCGGGTTCGATCCTCAGCACCACATACAAACAAAGATATTGTGTCTGCCGAAAACTAAAAATAAATAAATAAATAAATATTAAAAAATTCTCTCTCTCTTTAAAAAAAAAAAAAATAGTTTCTCATACAGGCAGAGAAGGAGAACTTAGCATCCAGTTCCACCCTTCCGCATAACAGAAGGAAGCCCAGAAAGAAGTAGATAAGCCCTGGAAAGAAGTAGAATAAAGCCTGAAGCAAAATCAGTATTTGGCTTAGAACCAGGAATAAGATATCCTATTTTTTTCCTCTTACTTTCTGCTGTTGGGAAAAGTATAAACGGCAGCCGTACCCCAGAGAAAAAACCCCAACATGGCGCCTATGGACTTCTTCTTCCTACCTTCTTCTTTTCTGCAGTGGCGCGAAAAGTTCCCGCCCTTGTGAACTCTCCCAACGGTGCCAATTTCAAATCTCGCTGGCGGGGAAACTTAGCCCCAATGAGAACTAATTCCTGGGCGCGGGAGCTGATGTCTGGAAGAACTTGACAATAAACGTGTGGCCTGCCATTTATCTAAGCCCTACCATCTCCCCTTTAGTTCTATATAAGCACACAGCTTTTTGCAATAAAATTGGAATTCTCCCGGCAAAGTGTCTTTG